TCAACACATTCGTTTTAGTTTTCAAACTATGAAAATCTTTTTACCGCATTCTTTCTAGTTTCAACACACTTAAATCATGTTTCAACATATTTGTTTTGTGTTTATCTAACAGAGTACAAGCATTGCTGTATTACAGCGTTCAACAGACCTGATCGTTCCAATTCCTTAGTCACATAAACATAAATAAGTGAAAGACTCTTATTATCTTAATAGAGTAAAGTGAATAAATCTAGAGTTTGTCTTCAAAATGATCCTAAAAATATGGTATACAACCCATTCAAGTTATTCTCCTCTCCAGATTATGTTAAAATAAAAAACAAATGTGTTGAAAAGTGATTTAAATGCATTGAAAAACATCATAAGAAGGTCATCATAAAGTCAAATCTTGAGTTCATTTGAACAAATATCCTTTGGCTAATTCAATCTAGTCCATCTTTGTTTCCTTGTCACTGAATTCTAATGCTTGTCAGAAACCAGTACCTTCAGTCATTATCTTATGAAACTAAAAATCAACTTTTATAATTCTACTTTTTCAATATTCTAGATTTTTGCTAATATGTTCTATTTACTTTTCTTATCATTTAAAAATTTAAAATTTAGTTTAGAGTCTGGAATTTGAATCCTCTGCAGTAGTAGTCCCTATTGTAAGGGTACTGAATGTTTTTTTTGAACAAACCTAAATCCATTTTCGACACACTTAATTTAGATTTTAATATACTTAAATTCATTTTCAACACATTCGTTTTAGTTTTCAATGTGTGAAAATCTCTTTACCACATTCATTCTAGTTTCAACGTACTTAAATCATGTTTCAACATATTTGTTTTGATTTTACCTAATAGAGTACAAGCGCTGCTGTGTTGCAGCGTTCAACGTACCTGATCGTCCCAATCCCTTGGTCACATAAATAAGTGGAAGACTCTTATTATATCTTAATAGAGTAAAGTGAATAAATCTAGAGTTTGTCTTCAAAATGATCCTAAAAATATGGTATACAACCCATTCAAGTTATTCTCCTCTCCAGATTATGTTAAAATAAAAAACAAATGTGTTGAAAAGTGATTTAAATACATTGAAAAACACTATAATAATGCTACAACATGATTTAGTACAGAGGAGGATCTATACTCTGTGATATTGAGAAGGTCATCATAAAGTCAAATCTTGAGTCCATTTGAATAAATAAATGGATTTGAAATTGTGTTTACATAGGTAAATTATTTAAATTGGGTAATTCAAGTTATATTAGATTAGAGAAATAGGAGAAGCATTTTATTAGAAGTGCTATTTGAATTTTATCCCCAATAAATTTCAAATAATTCTTTACACCTTGTTATTTGACATTCACACATATAACTCTCTAGTCCATTCATTTGAAATCTTCTCACATCAATCAAACTACATTTCTTACATAATTGAATCTAAATTCATTTCTTTAAAATCATTCAATTCAAACAAAGATAAACCAACCCATTTCAATACGATCTTTTAAAATTATTTATTTATTTAATTTTTAAATATTTTTTGTGTTGAGAGGAAATTGTCCACGTGGACGTGTAAGATTTGGACAAGTCTAGTGTGGGTTATTTAATAGGATAATTAAGGCAAAGTTGGACCATATATATAAAAGGGATAGAGCTGGCAATAATCAAAGACAATTTAAGAAGGTGGACCCCACTGTTGTGTTGTTACCACCGATACGTATCTTTGGGCCTTAAAGGCCCTTTGCTTGCCTCACCACAAAACACCATATACTTTTTCATTTGCAAGCCCTTTTGCTCCTTCGTGGGCCCCATTTTTGTATTTTCATATGTCAAATCACCGGACATGCCACTCTCACAAGCTCCATGGCCCACCCTTGTAAATTTCACATGGCCAAGTGAAATTACCGTACCACCCTCACAATTCTCGGAATTAAGTTAATAAATGAATGTGTGGACGTGGATATAAATTTCACGGCCTACTTTCTGAAATGAAATCCATAATTATTGGGTTTTATAGAACTCACATGTGGGATTCAATTATTCAATTATTGTGACACTTTGTCTGAACTAAAAGTATTCTGAGATTTTGATGTGAAATAAATTGAATAAACTGAAATTTAAATATATATAATATTTTAAAATCATTTTATCATTATTAATTATAATTGAAATCGCATATTTTATTAAAAATAACGAAAAATTGAGTAAGTTCCAAACTCATATATTAAATAATTTATAAATTTCACCAATTTTCTTGGTATATTTTTCTAAGACAAAAAATACGATCAAATTTCACCTCTTAAGCTATCCGTAACATTATATTTAACTGAAAAAAACTTTCCAAGTGCACGAGCTACCGAATTTCTAATCTGGACATATCCTGAATGGCATTGACAACAATTTCGTCCTCAAATTCTATGAAATCTATTTTATATTTTAAATTTCTTTGATTTCAAAAACTAGGGATTCAAATCCCCACATTTCAATGTCTTTCATGTAAAACAAAACAAAGTGTAAATTATTCAAACTCGGGCCATAGAAATGATGAAATTCCAAAATGAACTTCATTCTTGACTGTATACAAAAGGACAAACCTCCATTCAACCAAGTTAATTTTATATTTTATTACATGAGATTATATAAGTTGATGAACTTTTGAATGTGATTTAAGATTGTTTTATTTAGCTCTAGGGTCAATCTCAACAATTATAAAGAAATAAATTACGACCCAAAATTTCAATAAATGAGTACGCAACTGTGAAAAACATTTTTTTTTTTTTTTTTCAAAGCAAACAAAACATATCTTCAATTCTGGCGATCGGGGCAGACCTAAAACTTTAGGTAAGGATATAGTTCACCGTATCGACCGATACGCGACTCTTTTTTTAAGTCCGATACGCAATCCGTATCAGTCAATTTATATTAACTTTGTCCGAATCCGTTATACCGTCCGTGATAGATATTATGAATCACGGGGAAACAAGACTAAATTTTGTAATAATTTTAGGAGCGGCATTAGTAATATTTTAGAAATATATATTCCAAAATGAATAAAAAAAAATAACATAGTATATTACTAAAAAATTAAAAATTCACCCTCCCCTCACTAGCTAATAGGTCCGTCCTCGCTGGCAATCAAGACAGTCCAATTACTCGAGCACAATAGAACAACATATAGACCATGAAAATATACGATTCAAACGGAGTCGCTATTGTAAAATGACATAACATGCATCAATTGACGATTTTGCCCTCGTGTCCCCAATCAATTGACTAGATCATTGTAATGATTTCATTGGTGACGTGGTCAACATTAATACGTACACCCATTAATATATAGAGGCGGCAAGGGACAGGCATTGAATGAGACAATAGGATGATTACAAAGACAATTGTGCCCAATATTTTGGCAGCACGAGAGACATTGGTGGAAAGGATTGAAGGGTATAAAAGTCTTTGCACAATATTGGGTAGCGTGAAGAAAAACATAATAACATTTGGTCGAAAGGATTGAAGGGTATAATAGTCTTTTTGTTCCATTAATTGCGTTTTGTCATTTGAAACATGATTAATATGTTTAGGGGGTATTTTAAATTTGTTAGAACAGTACTTTTAGACTATCATATAACAAAAATAAAACGTTCAAAATTAAGTTCATTTAGTTAAAGAATATTCTTTTCCTGTTCTCAGAAAAATTTCTTCTGTTAGAAAATTTTCATTGAAAGCGAAATTTAAAACTTTTCTCTAGATAAAATTGTGCCTATTTCAAGGTCAAGTCCAACATTTCCTCTCAAAATCTTGAGATGTTACGTAAGCAGCATCTAATCCAAAGAAAAGTTACAAAAATAATCTAATTTGAAGGTTAAATTCTTGAAAATATATATATATATATATATATATATATATATATATATATATATTTCTTTCCAATCACACATATTGGTATTTAAAAATATTTTAAAAAAATTAAAAATCATTTTAGACTTTACTAAAATTCAGTTTCACCATTTCAGACGAGGACCATGGTATGAATATTCAATCTTTGTCTGCCAACTATTTTTTTTTTTTTAATTTTTTAATTTTTTTCTCATTGCCCAACTAGTGAATTGCAAATTACAAATCCAAGTCAGTAAAATTGTTTGGGCAGCACTAAAATTGTTGCGGTGAATAAACTACTCTTAATATACTTGCCGACACCGTACCAATGAACTCTTCACTCAGCTGGTCACACTCCAACCCGAACTCTAGTATATTGCCATGTAACACTTGTGCAGTGAAAATGATAAATAGAATTATTGAATAAATCAATTTAATTTTATACATTTATACACGATAGTCTCAATTTAATTTTATACATTTATACACGATAGTCTCTTACTTTTTTAATCGGCTAAGCTTTTCAAACTGGTAAGGTTTTTGAGATACTCCCTTGAGTTTTCGGGAGAGACTCATTAGATGTAAGGTGTGAATTTAAATAATGCAAGTAATTTCGTGTATTCAGAGTCAAGTGTTTGAAAAAGAGGATTTGGCATGTGGCTCGGGAGAAAAAAAATTTGCAATTCCGAGAGTTCAAAGTGATTAGCGAGTGGATTGTTTACAAAAAATTCATGATATATATATATATATATATATATATATATATATATATATATATATACCATCTAACATACAAAAAGACCAAATTGAATAGAGTTGGGACTTGGGTAATTGTCACTTTGCTAATTCTGTATATATAGGAGTTTTTTCTCGTATCTTTCAGTTGGTGGAAAGAAATAGCAATTGAACACAACAACTCTCAATTCAATCTACTCTTGCATTTAGTAGATTGAGTTAGTGGTACTTTGTTGTAATATAAATTTCATACACAATTGTCAATGACTTCATTCTGATATTTATGGCCTTATGGGATGTACCAGTTATCTTCAAAGTGAAGTGTAGTAAAATATAGCTTCAGTTATTGAGAGTCAATTAAGGGCACTATTGTCCTATAAATTCACACACACAGCAAAATTTATATCTTTATCCCATATAAGTCGCTGACCTTTCTTCTCCGTCCATCACTCTCTTTATTATCTCCCTCCCCTCTCTCTCTCTCTCTAGGCTTCTCTACTCTCTTGAACTATAAGTAGCAAAAGCCACAATCTTCTTAGCTGATCTTTGTTGCAGATGGGTCGATCACCGTGTTGTGATAAGGTTGGTTTGAAGAAAGGGCCGTGGACACCGGAAGAAGATCAGAAACTGTTAGCTTACATCGAAGAACATGGCCATGGAAGTTGGCGAGCTTTGCCTGTAAAAGCTGGTGAGTACACTCAATCTCTCTCCCGAATATATACACACACACATATATGCATATATATCATATGTTTTTTTTGCTCATTCATAGGACTTCAGAGATGTGGCAAGAGTTGCAGACTAAGGTGGACTAATTATCTCAGACCTGATATTAAGAGAGGAAAGTTCAGTTTACAGGAAGAACAAACCATCATTCAACTCCATGCTCTCTTAGGAAACAGGTAGAATATGATACACACACATATAAAGTAGACCTAGCCGGAAACAGCCTCCCAGTGCAGAGGTAAGACTCTGTACATCTAGTGGGAGTTTCGTGAACTGGGCTAACCTTTTTTAAAAGTAGACATATCATCTCGGCTATTAGCCATTGATACGTTGTTCATCTTTTAAGGAGTACTACTAATAATTCATTATTTTTTCGAAGAATTGAAATGAATTTAATAATAGTTCGGTATGATTTTTAGAATTTCATGATGCTTTAAATTTGTTGTTACATTAATTGTTATCTCATTGAAAAAAAAAACATAAACGTGTCTGTTTGTGTTTGAATTAGCTAGATCATATCAGATACTAGGCTTGTTTTCCATATGGTACTGCATTTACTGTCTGTCAGTTTCAACTGTACGCTGTCGCGTTTAACCTTCCACAAATCACCAACTAATTTTCTGACCTAAAACTATAAAATTAATGCGTCTCTGCCATACTTCATATTAACTATATGTCACATTCAATTTATTTCCTAAGTTGAATGTAATCATCAAATCCTCCACAACCCATTTGTCACTAACTCGGGTGTCGTAATTAATACAAAGCATATTCTAATTTATTCAACATAACATATACATATAATATGAGGCTTGTTTCTTGAATGTTGATGTGTGTTTTGTCTTTAGATGATTACAAAAATGAAAAATGTCTCTAGTTGTTTGCTATCTCCTAGGGATTTGTTTTTGGGCATAGTTTATGAAGAGATTGTCGTTATATTATGTCTTATGTCTCGTGTGTTGGTTGTCTTATTCTCAGGTGGTCGGCTATAGCCACTCACTTGCCCAAAAGAACAGACAATGAGATCAAGAACTATTGGAATACCCATCTCAAGAAAAGGCTGGCCAAGATGGGTATTGATCCAGTAACCCACAAGCCCAAGAATGAAACTCTTTTGTCCAGTGATGGTCAGTCCAAGAATGCGGCCAACCTTAGCCACATGGCTCAGTGGGAGAGCGCTCGGCTCGAAGCCGAAGAAAGACTAGTGAGACAATCTAAGCTACGTTCAAATCCGCTTGGCTCGCTCGGCTTCACATCGGCTTCAACCCCGGTGAACAAGACGGGAGCACCACCGGTGCCACCCCGGTGTCTTGACATACTAAAAGCTTGGAATGATGTGTGGAAACCAAGTGATCAAGCTAGTGGTAGTGGTGGTGGTGCTCATGGTGGTGCCTTGATTCCCGGGCTCGGTGGCGACCTCGAGTCGCCGACGTCAACACTTAGTTACTCAGAAAATGCAACGGCGATGCCAGCCACTGGAATCGGAGAAAGCTCAACGGCTTTTATTGAGTTTGTGGGGAATTCGAGTTCTTGTGAGGGTCCAATCATGAAAGAAGAAGGTGAAGAGGAGTGGAAAGGGTTTGGAAATAATGTGTCTTTTACGTCGGGACTTAATGATATGACGACGTGCATGGAAAGTGCATGGACACATGAGTCTCTTAAGGCAGGTACTAATTATGAACATGAGCATGTTCACAGTGGAACTTTTGTGGAGAAGTTCACGGACCTTTTGCTAAACAATTCCGGCGACCGGAGTTTGTCCGATGGCAGCGGAGGATCTGATAGTGGCGGCGATGGCAGCGGTGACGGTGGTGGTAGTGACTACTATGAAGATAACAAGAATTACTGGAATAGCATTCTTAATTTGGTCAATTCCTCCCCTCCTGATTCACCCATGTTCTAAAACTGTCTCATAATCAATTTTATGTAGAACTCTCTCTCTCTCTCTCTCTCTCTCATGTGAATTATTAATAGTTAATGCAATGTTTCGTATCAATGAGGTGAAGTGGTACTATTTCATTCTCCTCTGCAGGCAATAATTCAACTCGTTTGAGCCAACTCAGTGAATGTTTACGTATATATTATGTGTCATAGTTTTTCTTTGTTTATTTTTCTACTCTCTCCTTGTTTTGGATTTTTCTCTTTGTTCTCGGATTGATCTAAAATTCGGACTATAAGAAGGATATAATCTAACACAGTACAGCAAGGAGTGAATGACTTGTCTGCCTATCTTCTATCTATGCATTAAATCTCTGTATGCATAGACATGACATGATGAGATGCTTTAATGGCGACTTTACTGCTGTTAGTTTGATGTCGCATTCTTGGTTTGAAGAGTAGTACTAGTTTTTCTTCCTGCTTGGCTGTCAGGAAAATTTGAAAGAAAAGGAAACTATACAGAAGGAAATGAAAAGCATCAAATGTAATCAGAAAAGTTAATTTGATCTCTTATAAAAATATGGAACAAAGAGACGGCAAATTAAAGAGAGAGAATCTATATATTTATTTGAATATTAATATGCATAGTTTTCTTGTTTCTTAATACTTTTTGATTCTGACAATTAAGACCTCAATTTAATATTACTTTGAATAATAACCAATTAAATCATGCCTAGAGATCTTAGTCTGGTCTGACAATTAGTGTTTTTATATCATTTAAGACCATGTTTATACTATCTTCTAGAACAAAATTTCCTACCAAATTATTTTAATTCTCAAACACTGAACAAACTTGGAATGATTTACTTTTAAAGTTGTCTCTAATAAGGCATGATGCAACTTAATGAACTTTAACGGTAATCTCATATGAAATGATATGTAATCTTGCATGCTGCCTCAATAAATTAAGGAAAGAGCGAAGTCGGACAACTCCGAATGGTATCATGTGAGAAAAAGGGCGTTAGCTATGTTTGGACTATAATTATAAAGGGATAGCCCAGTGCACAAAGCTCCAGAAATTACAGGTCCGGAGAGGGTCAGTTTTATGTGGACTATAATTATATATGGATCTTAAAATGGTCCCAATATGAATTTTCTTTAAACGATTCATCTTAAATCACAAAAATGTGCATAAAAATTGATCTATTTAACGCAAAATCCGTCTTAAATTGAGTCATTTGATATGGATTGGAGATAGAATATGAATTGGATATCAAAACTGGATTCCATACCTGATTGATAATGCACTTCTTGTGAATAAGGCCTCTTAACTTAGTTCACTGAGCAGTTCCCTGAGAAGCAAGGAAAGTTGACTGTCTTAATGGCATACGATAAAGACTGATGATGACTGCATAATGAACAGAGATAAACTGTCAGATTTTGTAAATTTACAACTCTTCCTCTCATCCAAAGTCAATTTCACTAGGGGAAAAAAAAAATCATAAATTCAAGCATTTAATCCATGCGTGCCCACACATCTGTGGTCCTCCAACGCTCAGAGAGACGACCTCCAACATGCCCAATCTGATGTAAAATATAAATTTATATGTATATATCCATTTCTCTTCCTAACCACATGAATCACACTACATGAATTATTCATATACACATATTCCTATACATATATATAGATAAGTATATTCTTTTATAATTTACGTATACTAGCAGTCATTTCGGTGTCCATATAATATCACATGGGTCTTTATGAATAGTGTCTTTGGCCAACGGAGCATATTAAATCCAAAGTAGTTGGCATTCATAGTAGTTTCAACCTACAATAAAATGAATGTACATATATCAGAACAAGTAATGCTAGAATAGCCGAACCCGAAAGAACAAGGTCCGTTAGATTCATTGCATGGGTCTCCCTGCAAGCATCAAAGGGAAACTATTCTTTCGGCCCTTAGTTTCGGCTACTCAATCATTTTCCTATCACCACAGTTATTGTACAAGTTCACAGCATGTTAGATCATTCATCACATTGCACCTTGAGTTGTTCACTGACCTCTGGTTCTGAAATTCTTCTAAACTAAAAGTACCGGATGACAGTATTTAAACACTAACTTAGTATCTATTGTTGAGATATTCGTTTCATATTTTATTCTTTTTGGAATTTTTTATCAATGATAAAGTTACTATATTTTTTCTCAGTTCTGATTGAAATACAAGCATTACAGAAATATTACCTATTTAGGAGTAACACATGATATTCACAGTAAAGCATCAAAGCAAGTGTAGTTGGGAATTGTTATCTCGGCCACCAAACCCAATTTGATGTAACCTCGATCGTCTCATCCAACAACATAACTAGAGAACTTGATCCTTCTTCCTTCTTGTTCAACCTACAGGTCCAAAAGTGTTTTCTCTTATTCCATAATCCATACATCGGTAACAGATTCAGAATGCAGAAAATTTTCAAATAATTCATAATTCAAATTTTATTCAGAAAAATATCATTACAAGTGTTTTTAGTATCTCATTATACACAACGTACTTTACATTACGATACAAACATATGTGTCTGAGTGAGAGGGGGAGAAAGAGACAGAGAGAAAAAAAGAAAAGAAAAGTAAAGCCTACCAAGACAATGACAATCGCCTTTTCCACTTACCGTATAGACTAAAAGACAGGCTTGTACAAACAAGAAACCAATTTTGCACAATTGGTGTATGCCAACAGAACATCACTTGACAAATGAATTATCAATGATGCAAACAACAAAAAAGTTGTGAAGGATTAAGTCATCACTCACTGAAAAGATACATCATACAAAGACATAATTTTCAGGAAAAAAAAAACTGTTATTAATCCTAATAGAGTAAAAACTGCTACAATGTTAATGATCTTCTAGGCTAATTTAATAGTACAATTAAACTTTTTCACTGCCTAGATAGGACAAAAAGTTTAACAATCTTCTAAACTAATCCTTTACACTATTAGATAAACCAACTTTTCCAACTAACCTATAAAATATATGCAGGTAAGTTAACCAAAAACTCTGAATGAAGTGTTGATGACAAAAACAGGACGAACCATACAATACCTGTAAACCATCACCACCATATATTCTACTTGTCAATTTCCTTCCCCGAGAAGAATTAACTATAATCCTGTAAATAAATTTTTATTTCAAGTAAATAATTCAAGGCAAAGGAATAGGGGCATTGCAGACAGAAAACTCATGTTTTAAATACTGGTTGCACTTCCACTAGACCTTGCCGATATTTCTCTATGAAATGTCACCACATTATTAAATTAAAGCTTCAAACTTCTATACAAGGCAAGGACACAGGAACATTATAGAAAGAAAAATCATGTTTATACTTTAGACTGTTGGAGCATGGAAGTCCACAAGTTTTTTCTCCACAATAAGATTGGGAAACCAGATTCTGTAGCAACAATACTAGTGGAGCCTCAACATTAATGTGATTCATAACTATTTGATAAAGTATCGACTAAAGAGAACGATGATCCAATATTTATCTATCGACTCTTGTCATTTATTTGAAAATTTTAAAGAGAAGAAGAAAGGTCACGAGTTGTCCCAATCAAGATGGGGAAATCACATTAACATGCATAATGTAGAAATGAATAAAACAATAAACTGCAGTGTATGATGCACCCATGAAATTTCTACTTTTTGGTTCCGATCATTACATGCCAGGCTGTTTAATAAAGGGGGAAGGAAAAAAGAAAAAGGAAAAAGAAAAAAAAGGATGATGTGACAAAAAATTTATACTTCAAAATTCACTTGTCTTTGACCAAATTAAATTCTTGTCTTTCACCAGCTCATATGATCTCATTTTGAAGTAATTAGATCTGATCTTCTTCTTTTTTTATTTTATAGCAGGACCATTTTAAAAGGACCAATAGGACAATGTGGCCCGTGCATTATTTTCCATGTTCAAGATGTCACTATTTGGAGAACAGCTCGTGACAACAACCATGAAGTCGAACTCGATATACACCTAACTCTTCTATGAACAAAATTCACCAATTATTGGTTTTTTGTTACCGAAGATCGAAACTGCTTTTAACAATGTGAGGGCATTACAGGCAGCAGAAACATGCTAAGGTCAAGCTGCAAAGCGGATCCCACTATTTATTGTTGCACATTGAAATTAGGCATCCGGTAATATTGATGATCACCAGAGCCTCAGTACTTGTGCAATGTAGTCACTAACTTACTCTAATCAAATCGAAACCCTTTTAAAATCAAATGAATGTAAAAGGCTTAATTTTTGAAGCACTTCTATATGTCATTGTAGCATTACAAATGTCGCGAATTCAAATTCTGCAATGAAATTACACTCCACAGTCCATACAAATGCAATCTAGCAAAAAATGCAACAATGATTCAATGAACGAACACGAAACAGTAATAGATATAGACATTCATACCAAAATCCTACAACAAACATTCAAAATCAAAGCACTAAATCTGATAAAGTATACTACAGTAATCTGTGTGTGTGCATACATATATGTGTGTGTATATATATGTACTGAAGAAAGAAAAAGTATAAATGAGAAGATACCTTCTCTCAGATTGCAGCTTGGGGCTTCTGAATATTGAAGAGAAGTCATGGAGAGCTGAGAGGTTCGCAATCTGAGATTCTGAAATTAGGGCTTCCAAGAAATGATTAATGTAGAGATTAGAAGAGAAGGGAGATGAAATTTTATTGGAGCGATTAATTGGGCTCGAGACGGCCCATTGACTATGTGGGCTTGTGGCAAACCATTTGAAGATTAAAAAATTAAGATGCGTCCACACAGAGGCAGGCCCAATCAAGTCAAATGACGAGCCCATCTGGTATTCGGTTTTTGTTTTTTTTCAATGGTGGTGGTGTCGGGCACAACTAATTATTCACAACCGAGTACATACAATTTTTCATCCCACGTGCAAAGTACAATTATTCAAAAACATTATTAAAAGTGATTCCAAAGAAATTCGAACTCTTAAACTTTCAAAACGTGGGGTGATATTTGTTTTTGTTACGTGCATTTAGCATTCATGAAACATTGTGCTTGGTCTATGGCTTTGCTGTAACTTGTGTAAAACACACTTTTTTGTATGAAAATGTCAAAAAAGTGTTGTCTCTAAGACATGAAAAAGTATAGTGTTGAATAATGTAATATGTAAACTATTATATATATATATATATATATATATTCCTTTTTCAAACCAACAAGCGTGTGGCCTAGCCGTATCAAACTCCTACTTCTCAAAGAGAGGTCAGAGATTCGAGCCTCCATGAAGATATGTGTGTATGACTACCAACTAGGAAAAAAATATATATTTCTTTTTTTTTTTTTTTTTTTTTTTTTTTTTTTTGCCTTTACTTATAAATAATTCCAATTTTTAGTTTTGCTTAAAGCTCTTTACTAAGCCAAAATACCTACCATTAAGGCATTAAGAATTTTTTTTTTTTTTCCAAACACATTTAAAAAAGAATTTTCAAATTAAAAGTGTTGTTTTTAGTCTCTGCAATAAGCAATGCAAATAAACACCGAATACAACAATGCTTTGGAAATGATAATATATTTTTGGACTGGATAGGTAATTGAATTGGACTTGTTCAACTTAAATATCATTGCTATTTTTTTTTTTGTGCATAGGATAATAAAATTTGGATTATAAAACTTTTCTTTCTTTTTTCTAACATAGGCCCACCTCACTGACTAAAAGGTGAAGCTAAGGTTTGTTTCATGGTTCCCAGAAGGTTCCCAACACGCAACAAACATGGGATGCGTTTTTCACCTTTTGGAATTATATTTTTGGAATTATATGATCCGGCAAACACAACTTGACATATAAATAAAAAGTTAAATAAAATTAACAGGTACATCACATCTTGGCATGAAATAAGATGGTCATGCCAAACACAACTTGACATGTAAATAAAAAGTTAAATAAAATTAACACGTGCATCATATTTTGGCATGAAATATAAAAAGTTAAATAAAATTTATATTATTGCGTATATTTAGAATTCTAATTGGTCAGAATTGTGTAGTCTCGGACGGCCAATGTAACAACTTTTTTTCAAAAATTAACGAGAAATTATTATATTATTCTGATTCATTGATATTTGGTGAATCAGTTAAATTTAGACTCTCAAATTGAGAAAATGATTTCATAAGAGTGTATTAATATATTACAAAATAATCTCAACATTAATTCATTAAGGCTCGATGTTTTACATTATTTGGTTGTCGTAAAATATTTACCGAAAAAATATTAAAATTTAACAAAAATAATTTATTCATCAATTTTTAATAAGGTATTTTTATACCCATCATATCCGATGAATTCGACTTCAATCTTAACCTATACTTTTGCAAAACATCGAAAAATAAAAATAAAATATTATATATTTTTTTCTAAAAATCTCTTTTTTAAGAAACATATTCTAGGTCAAAACAAAAATGTCAATTAATCAAAACAATCTAATAATTTTTCATAATTAACACAGATAGTGTCATAATTGTCTTGTTTTCCAGTCGATTCTTTTTCCTTCTCTTTTTGTCTTTATTTTTATTATTACTCATATTATTATTATTATTATTATTATTATTATAATAGTCTGGCTTATCTCATGTATAATATCCAACCAACTTAAAAAGGAAACTTATTTAGAGCGACAAATTCATGTCAATTCAAATCCATATTTATATTTTTAAGTGAGAATTCATATTCAATTTGTTATTAAATTCATGTTCAAAATTAAAATTCAAACCTGTTAAAATAAACTTCGAATCGATTTTAAGTCGAAATGGTTCAATTTCGAGTTTTAATTGTAAGAACCCAAGTTTCTCCCAAGGGCTTGGTAGAGTTGGTAAGGTAACCTGAGAACCAAAATGTCCCATGTTCTAACTCGTCCATCCCCATTATTCCCCCTGACTTACCTTGCTGCTTATAATGTGGGGTCGGTATCGTCAGCCCGGGGTTTACCTTGTAGCTTCAGCCTGAAGGGAGGTCGTGACAGGGTTCCCACGTCATTCAAAAAAAAAAAAAAAATATTGTAAGAGCCCAAGTTCCTAAAAAAATTTCATGTTAAACCAATAAAATAAAAAATAATTGGAATTGCATTGAATTTTAATTTTAGAGTCCTTTAAGCAACATAGAAAAATCAACAATATAAAACTACCATAAACACATCAATCACTCACAAAGTTTTGCATATTAATAAGGTAATATACTAATTATCTGATGTGTATTCGGTTGTATGAAATTGAAATCTTATAATTTAAATTGATAGAATTTGAAAAAAATAACTAAAAAAATTAAACCAATTTTTTTTCAAATTCTATCCATTTTAATTCTAAAACTCTAATTTTATGCCCAACACACCCTAAAAATAAAATATTTATATTTTGAGACCTCCAAAACGTGAGTCAAGTCTATTTTTAATTTAGTAAAAGTCAGTCTTACATATCGATAACATTTTATTATGAAGAATGTAAAGAAGTAAAAACGTGGTTTGAATAATTGAATGATCAAATATTGAAAACAATAAAGTAGAATGTTTAAAGTCATTCAAAGGCGTGCATTTTCACTAGTAAACGACAGTGAGATCATTTCAGTCGTGACGGCTAACATAAATGACCATGTTCATGTACTCACTGATAAGATTTGTATTAATTTAGGATCACATGAAAGACTATGAATCATAGTTTATAATATAAACTTGACCTTAAACAGTACGAGGTCTCGTGATGCAACATCACAGTTTTGATTTTAAGAGACCATCTAGAAATACCCACAAAGATTGTTCTCACGTTTTGTCAAATTGTGTTGTGTATAGCATTTTAGTACATGTATTAGTAGACCAGTACTCTGACATTAATTACCAAAATCTTTTTGGAGAAATATGTTTGAAGGAAGCAGATACATCATCGAATGACTTTGGAGATGCCGATTGAGGGGTATGCGGGGGTGATCCCACTACATATATTATTTTCAGTTGACATCTTTCGAATTCAAAAGATATATCGTAACTTATATATTGAATTGACGAGTCCATTTTAAATGATAGGCAATTCATGTTTAATTCAATTTGAGGCTAAAAAAAGAAGAGAAAAAGGATAAATTTTAATTTTATTCTAAAAATAAATCAGTCTATTAACTTAGTCGATTAACTAGCAAGGACTAAATTCAAACTCTAGCTAGTTGACGGGTCTACCAAAAAATAAAGAAAGAAAGAAGAAGAAAAAGATAATAATTCAAATTTATTTTTTTCAAAGTTGAGATAGGGCATTCTAATAAGAGAAACGATAAACATCATGAATTGAATTTCACGATCTTTATCATCACCTCTATGTATTTATTTAACCTTTTCTTTTTATTTTCTTACATTATATAGAAATTGCTTTTTCTTTTTATTTCCTTACATAAAAATTATTTATTCTTTATTTTATTGCACATGTATTCGGGAGAGTTTACAATATGGTCCACGCTGACCAAAGCCCAAATATTTTCTGCAAAGTTAATTTTATCTTGTTATGAATTTAGTATTTTTTTTTTCCCCTTCTCTATGAAAGTGCCATATGCAATATTTTGACACCAAGAAATTTAAGTTTTTATCAGAGAAACGAATGATCAAACCAAGAGTATTCTCTAGTGAGTGCCATCGATAAACTTCATATCCATTTTCCCCTTACAAGTTCTATAAAACTTAGATTTTTTTTAAAAAAAATTAATGGGGAAAAAAAAAATCTGAAATGAAAGTATTTATCATAAAATTTGGAATATCATAAGTTCCATTTCAGTTCTATATTTATCATAAAATTTGGAATATCCATAAGTTCTATAAAATCTGAAATGGAAGTATTTACCTAAAAAATATATTGAAATAAAATTATGAATTTAGGGGGAAATTGAAAATATGGATATTTTTTAAATTAAAATGTCAATTAATGTTAAAGTTATTTTATTTATTATGATATATATATATATATATATATATATATATATATATATATTTGATCTTATTGTGGTCAAGGTCGCCTTTCTCAATTTTTTTAATTGTGGTATAGGCTTGATTTTCTTACATTTTAATAATAATTATAATAATAATAGTAGTAGTGTAGATATGATTTAGGCTGGTCTTAAGTTCATTGATACCTTCTAAGAACTTGATTATTGTAGTACAATTTATTTGTCTGCATGCAAATATTATATATATATATATATATATATATATATATATATATATATATATATATAATATTTGATCTTATTGTGGTCAAGGTCGCCTTTCTCAATTTTTTTATTGTGGTCTAGGCTTGATTTTCTTACATTTTAATAATAATTATAATAATAATAGTAGTAGTGTAGATATGATTTAGGCTGGTCTTAAGTTCATTGATACCTTCTAAGAACTTGATTATTTTAGTACAATTTATTTGTCTGCATGCAAAAAATTTGTGTATATGGTGGGCATTAATAGGACAAACAAAAATGTGAGTTGGGTAGATGGTGACACGATGCAAAAAGAAAACAAAAAAATAAAAAATAAAAAACAAAAATAAAAAAACAAAACAAAAACGACAGTGACATGACATATTGGATGAACAAGATATTCATGTGTAAATCAAGATTAGAAAATAGATTTAGGTGCATGCACATGTTGTTTAGTAACATTTAGAAGTACGGTTCAAAATTATTAAGTCGGCAATTGATCAATCATTTTGGGATGGTATTAATCTAATCATTCACTTTATTAGGATTTTTTGGTGTGACTCTTAATTTTATTGCCACTTTAATAGTTATAATTTACGTAAATGCCTGAACCACCACTCACACTAATAATTCTGATTATGTGTCATGAATAATAATTTTATACGAAATTACATAAACATCTTATTGTAATGTCTTTTTCGACTCTTCTGAAATTTTTTTGGACCGAACCTGTCAACATCTTATTCAAATATGCCGAGGATCTCCGGTTATAAATTGGTCTTTGTATAGCCCACAAAAACAAGTGGCTTCGCTATAAAGTCTTCGACAAGCACATCTATGGTCTGGTCCATTTGTATGACGTACACATAAAGTTGTCCATTCCATATGGTCAAGTAGGCGGCCACAACTTGTGAAATTTATTCTCAGGAACTTGAATGCTCTAGCTACGGGAAGGGACCTCTGACCTGGCCCTGACTTTGTATTTTTTTTTTTGGTCTCAAATTAAATATCTATCTTTCTATTTTTGGCTCTCTCAAAATAAATATCTAAGAGCATCTAAGGAGTGTATTAAAAAATTATTTTGTGTAAAATATAGACTATGTGTAAATTTTTATTTTTTATTTTTATTTCCAGCAGTGTGTGAAGATATATTACCACTCCATCAATGTGTAAATTGTAAAATTATTGTGTATTTTATACAATTCATATATTTCATTTCTCCTCTCTCTTTATTAACTAATCAACCTATAGTAAGTAAGTTTGTAAAAGTTGTTTGGGATTTTGGAATATGACACGTGGTTGATTGTTATTGGCTGAGGTCTTGGGATATGACAAATAGTTGGTTGTTATTGACAGATACATTTTTACACAAAGGTATAAAATAATGGCTGGAGCTAAAAATGAGTAATCCAATTTTTTTTTTTTTTTGTAAATCTACCATAATACATATTTACAAATATATGTATATATACACACACACACGCACACACAATTGTTGGAGATGCTTTCATTTGAAAAGTTAAAGTATTATTTTTTGTAATATTATCAATTTAATATGATGTGAACTGAGCTCATTATGGATATATTTGATAATTTATTCACTACTAATACAATAAAAAAATATTAAAATCCATCATCATGCTGAAAGTGACATTTAATTTGAGATGGAAGAATAATAATTTTGTGAAATGTTGCAATATGCGTTTTTTAAGATTTTTGCTTTCTAGAAATGTCTATGATTTTTCAAAGTTCTCCATTTAAATTTTGATTACTGCACTTTTATTACAACATTTCAAATTATATAATTCCGATGAATTACAAATTTACAACTCTACATATAAATAAAAATTTAAAATTAACAAATTTTAAGTAGTGATTAATATGGATCATATAGTTCCTCTGTTCCATATTAGTAGTTCATTTTTTACTTTTAGAATGTCACAAATTAAACGTCTATTTTAAAAAGTTAAATAAAATAAATGTCATTTTTTTATAGTGTTATAAGAGAATCACACACGAAAAGAAAAATAAAATTTAAAAAATGGTCTCGGGGACCCGACGGATCACTAGCTCACTTTTCAGTAATGGGGAAGCTGAGTCAGCTTGCACTTTGTTGGCTTTCATTTAATTAAAGTAATAAAATGTGTTGATTCCGAATCGGGTAGGATCGTAATAACATACTCGTCTCATCAAACGACCGTTGAACCGCAAATATCTCTCCTCTGAACAAATCCAAATTACCTAAACTATAGTTAAAATGATCTAACCGTGGTTAAATATAAACCTAACCAGCTCACCTAATCTATTTTCTAATGGCCACCACTATAAAATGACGATCCAACCCGCGTTTTCAGACTTCGAACTCAATCCCTGAAGTCATTTTTTTGTATTGTCAGTGATAAGTTTTTGACCGTCTGATCAAGAAATGGCCGTGTCCAGCTGTGCTAGGGTTTTCACGTCTTTCCAATGCCGTTCAGATCCGGATTTCTCCGGCGTCCCACGGTCAGATGCTCCGGGCCCGGGAAGATTCTCCGGCAGACTCGACTCGGCTCTGAGTCGGGGACCGTTCGGGATGTCGTCCCTGATCTTTAGGTTTCCGCCCAACTTCGTGAGGCAGCTGAGCAACAAGGCTCGGAGGAACTGCAGCAACATCGGCGTCGCACAGGTGGTCGCGGCGTCGTGGTCGAACAGCCAGGCGGCGTCTTCTGGCGTGGCGCCGGCGGCGAAAGCCGTCGACGCCACCGCGGCCGCCGCCGCCGCCCTCGCGCCGGTTGAGATTGCGACCGGTGATGAGGAGGTTGTGGTGGTTGATAATGGTTGCTGTAATGGCAACGGTGTACAGTTTGAGGGTTTGTCCTCATTTTTGAGCTCCGATGGGAGCGTCGCAGTTCATGCCGGTATATTTCTCTACCTACATATACACACATATATATGCATATATATTATTTGAGCTTATTTTTGGTATGTCTAGTTTGCTGTTGCATTGATTTCGTTTCCTAATCTGTATTGTGCTATGTTTTATACAGTTGGTTCAGGTGTTCTATATATGCATATACTATGTGTAGAGAGATTTGATACTAGGACGGATGAATCCCATTTCAAATGTTCAGTTTTTAATTATTTGAGCAAAAAACTTTTGGTGCTCTTGTAAAAAAAGGCGTGGGAAGATTATGAGTATTTGCGGTTGTTTGTTCATTAGCATCTGGACTGGACTGGACTTTCCAAATGAATTTATTAGGAAATTTGTGCTTATTTCGTTGTTATATTTTAACTTTATAATTATATCCGATTAGTATGTTCTATGTGTTGACCAGACCATTCTGGTTGATCCTCTGAACAGAAAGGATTAATATGTGTGTGTAATGTAAATGTTCTATGTGTTGACCAGACAGTTTTGAAATGCCCACTTGAAGTATATTTTTTAATGCTGGCACTAGTTTGAATTATGCCAACAAATTTGCTTTATTGCGACCATTTTCTCATTAATGGCAAATATTGTGATTGCAATAGTGACTTTCCTTTTATTAGCCACCTCCTTGGTGGATTTCTTATATAAGTCTAACAATTGCATTGATTCCATATCATGTATTTTCAATGAATAGTTATTTTGTGATTAGCAATTAAGTCATTTTACCTTTGAATTTCTCAGGTGAAAGATTAGGTCGTGGCATAGTTACTGATGCAATAACTACCCCAGTAGTTAATACATCTGCTTACTTCTTCAAAAAAACTTCTGAGCTCATTGATTTCAAGGTATGCCTCATATTCACATTTGCCAGTTGAGCGTTCAGTGTTTTTGTTCCTCACACAAGTATGAAGATTGGCTTGCACTAATGAATCCCTTAAAAGAAGTTTCCAATTAAAGGACCATGGCTGCCACTTTCTAGGAACCATTTGATTGGGAGCATGCTATGATTAGTTCAGATTATTATGGTAGATTAATATATTTCTGATGGTAGGAGAAACGCCATACAAGTTTTGAATATGGTCGCTATGGAAATCCAACTACGGTGGTTGCTGAGGAGAAGATAAGGTCTGTCTTCCGTTTCGTTTTTTGTTTTTCTTCCCTGTAGTGATTACATGATTGAATACGTATTGAGGATGCATGATCTTTCTAACTAAATCAGTGCGCTTGAGGGAGCTGAATCAACCCTGTTATTGGCATCTGGAATGTGTGCTAGTACTGTCATGTTAATGGCATTGGTTCCAGCTGGAGGTCATATCGTGACAACCACAGATTGCTATAGGAAGACGCGTATATTTATTGAAACCATTCTTCCCAAAATGGGTATCAAGGTATGGTTTTCCCTCATTTGCATGCTGTTGGTTGCACATCTCAAGGTTTAAGGAACAATTTTTGGCAGTCTTACTGGATAAAAATTTTGAGTTTCTGTTCCTTTATTTTGAAAGTTTGATCATATATAATAAAAATTTATATTGGAGGTGCTAGCTAGTTTAGTTGGTAAAACTCTCTCGGTAACTGTTAATAGAGCCCTAGGACCAAATTCAATTTTATTCGGGTTGTGCGGGGTTAGTGTGTGGGTGAAGGATGGCCCATTCATTATCAGTCTATGCCCCCATGCAGCTTACTGGTTTATCAATGTAAAAAAAATATGGTTTTTAAAATAGAAGCTATCCTCAAGTAGACGATTCTGAAGAAGAAAGGAAAATATATATGTAATAAATATTATATGAGATATTATGTGTATTAGAACTAGGATTTTCATGAAAAGGAGCATACTTTGATAACTTGCTGCTTGCTTGAGAGAGCATATTGTCCAAATAAATGGGGAATTATAGGGAGATGGAACAGAGAGGAAATATTGAAAGAGATTATTATTCTTAAACAGAACTACAAACATTGTGCTCATCAATAAAAAAATTGATGAGAATTTGGTGTCTGCATCTAAAATCTCCTTAGAAATTGGGATGATTGCATTTGTATTGTTTTATATGATACTAGAAGGTCTAGTGCTATATTCTGCAAGTTTTGTTGTATTTCTTATACATACACATGGCTACTTTCACATATTTTAAGTGCCAAGTGTTATTTCATGTATGGTGTGCATTATCATAACCTGCCTGCTTTTCGTGACTTCGCTGTATTTGGGGACTGGATGCTTTGTTGTACTTCCTATATGTTTTGAAGTTCTGTTCTTGATTATTTTCACCATCAAATGCAGGCCACTGTTATTGACCCTGCAGATATTCAAGGCCTTGAATCTGCACTTGAGAATAACAAAGTCGGTATTGTAGAAAGTGGTTAAATTGTTACTTGAAGTATTCTTCAAGTATTACCATCAAAATAATAGGTTAGCCTGAATTGAGTATTGTTGTTATTCCATGCAGGTTAGTCTTTTCTTCACTGAGTCTCCAACCAATCCATTCCTGAGATGTGTGGACATTGAGTTGGTTTCAAAGCTTTGTCATGCGAAAGGGGCACTTGTCTGCATAGATGGAACATTTGCATCACCTCTCAATCAGAAGGCCCTTGCTCTTGGTGCTGATCTTGTTCTACACTCTGCAACAAAATTCATTGGGGGCCACAATGATGTATGTTTGCTTTCATTGTTGAAATGAGTCGGTTGATAACTTGCTAACTTTGAAGCTGTATCAATATATAATTCTGTTAAATATTAAAGAAGCACAATTCCTGTTTCAGGTCCTTGCAGGTTGCATTAGTGGTTCTGAGAAGTTGGTTTCAACAGTGCGTAATTTGCATCATATTATCGGTGGTGCTCTCAACCCGGTAAGTTATCTTGACTAACAGTCTCATGGTGTGATATTGTTGCTTTATACCTCCTTATCTTCTTCCCCTAGCATATTAGATGTTACATTGTGCATCAGACACTTAAATAGATTGCAATTATTGGGATGTCTGTGTAAACCATAAGCTTGCTTCATGCCAGGGAACATCATTTTAGGTTGGATTCTTACTATGCAACTTAAGTTTGCATCATAACTAATGTTGGTTCCATTTTCTCTCGGTTATTAGAATGCCGCATATCTGATCATCCGAGGCATGAAGACACTGCATCTTCGTGTACAGCAGCAAAATTCAACAGCATTGAGGATGGCCAAGATTTTAGAGGCGCATCCTAAGGTAATTCAACCGCCCTGAAACTTTCTTACTCGATTCCTGTGTTTTAGTGTGTGGCAGATATATATTGAGATTTCCTATAAGAGAAACTTAACAACAACTACTACTACTAACAGTTGATGTTCTTATTGAAAGAAGTAGAAAAAATCATATGGGAAAACATTACACACTTTTTTGGATGGCGTAATCGAGACACGCTCTTAACGTTTGTAAAAACTGGCTACAATGATTCGCAGGTGAAGTGCGTATATTACCCAGGCTTGCCAAGTCATCCAGAACATGAAATTGCCAAGCGGCAAATGACTGGTTTTGGTGGTGTGGTCAGTTTTGAGGTCAGTGCTGATAACTACATTGAGTTTAATGCACAGTGTCTGGTGGTCATCAGTTTAGATTTTGGCCGCCTTCGCCTGCAACATTTTGAGTTTATTGGTATATGATCATTTAGGTTGATGGAGATTTATTGACCACTGCAAAGTTTGTGGATGCATTGAAAATCCCATATATCGCCCCATCCTTTGGAGGCTGTGAGAGCATCGTGGATCAGCCAGCAATAATGTCTTACTGGTATTCCTTACATTTCCTCGTCATCTAATTGTTGTATATATTCACAATTGTTATCATGCATGGTACTAGAAGATGATGTGATTTGTCATGCATTTGGAAACAGGGATCTTACTCAATCAGAGAGGGCCAACTATGGGATCATGGACAACTTGATTCGGTTCAGCTTTGGCGTTGAAGACTTCGAGGACTTGAAGGCTGATATCCTTCAGGCTCTGGCAACTATTTAAGGCGCGCGACTCACCTTCCCATTGTTTTCTTCTCTCTTTTTGTTTGTTTGTTTGTTTTTTTGTTCCCTCCATTTTTCCGTGTTTTCTGGTTCTAATTGGTGTTAGGCCACCAAACGTTGTCCTTCGCCGTAGTTGAAGAAATTTGATCCCATTTGATAAGATTGGTACGTTTGTCCTTGTCATTTCTGGTTCTTGAATTTTGTGATTAGAGGCATAAAATGAGCAGTTAAAATGGATGGTGAGGTGATGGAACATTGGAACTCATATCTTGCCGCAAAACCGCGGTATATTTATTTTATTCAAGAAAAATGCATCATTCTGGGGTCAAGTATGGCAGCAAGTCGTGCCGTCAAAGAATTCATTGACAATCCAAGGCTTAAGTGGAATGTAGGGTCTTGTTTAGGGATGGCAACGGGGCGGGTTTGCCTAAACCCATCCCTGCCCTGTACCCGTGACGGGTTGAGTTTTCTCAATTCATCCCTGCCCTGTTGGGAAATGACTGCACCTGTCGCCGCTCCACTCCCGTTAGTGATATATATATATATATATATTTAGCTCAATCCTTGGCTATTGGGATAGTAAATCCTAGAAGCTATCATTACAATTTTAAAAAGCGAAAGTGGCACGCATTTTCAGATAAAGACCCAAACAAACGAAGCAAATTATCAACGATTTAGGACTTGATCCCTTGGCTGTTGGGATAACAAATAATAAAAGAATAATGATAGGGAGATCGAAGAATTAATTTCGAATAAGTACTGAATATGACGTGTTTTTGTTCACCTCATTTATTTAAATAGTTTTTAAAAAATAATTGTTTAACACGTGATAAGAATAGTCAATCACGTCAAATTCGATGTTAATTTGGGGATTCTTTTTCGATTTTCCTATCACTACTCATAATAAAATTTGACCCAAAAAAAATATATGTATAACATATATATATTTGTATGTGGATAGAGAGTAGTACCATAGAACGAAAACCAAAAAATACAGTGTGTATATATAGTGAGATTTGTATACGGAGAGAGACATATGAGAACTACAAATTTGAAAACCACATCGGTCTCAATTAACTTCGATCTCCTTCACCTTGGGTTGAATCACCGTTCTTCTCCATCTTGGTTGGATTTGACAACCAGCTACGACTATCTTTGTAACGACCCTAAATTGAAAACCAAATATATATATAAAAAAAATTTGGCATGACCTCTGCTAAAAAGGGTCCCATAACAACCTGCTTAAATACAAAAAAAATATGCAATGTCCTCTCATGGACATTCAAGACTTATTCAACCTGTCCCAACACACAATACAAATAATATAATCCAGTATCCCTTTCATCCATTCATTATGCCTCAACATGGTTCATCTCATGCTGGAACATCCGCATACCATTTAATCCAAATTATCATAATTACAGTCCCAAAATATATGGTTAAGATCTAAAGTCCATGTCTTACAACGTTTAGATAACTTATAATAAAGTTACAACCCATAAATATAATTACAATAACAAGAGTCCACAAATCTTTATACCGAATATAACAAATTAAGGTTTTACAAAAAATTATGGGACTTAGAAACAAAAACAGCAAAATGATCTTCTAATCTAAATTAAGCCTGTGGTAGAATGTCATCCGCCACTTCTTTTCCGTTTCCTGAAAAATATTAAATATAAGGGGTGAACAAAATTGCTCAGTAAATGGTGCCTAAGACACACCTTTTGTAGCCCAGTGAATCCAAATAATGAATAGGACAATAAAGAACGGGGTCATGCTAAGCCGGGGAAAATACAATATCAATTCTAAGTTCAAAACAAGTAAATGTCGTGCCATGAATGCAATGTCATGTATGTTACTCCCCATTTTCAGAAAACATCAATCACTTCACAAACTATTAATATAACCCGTCCTTTGGTGACTCCGCAGCGACACGAGAGAATGATTGGCTACTGTCCCTGACCCTTGGTACCCCCGCGGCGTCATTTTGGGCCCAGATAGCTCAACCACGCTAGGGCAATTTCTTTAGTTCCCTCTAGGCTATATTAACACAACACACCGGCCCTTCGGTGACTCCGCGGCGACCGGGTTTTCTCAAAACCATTTTCTCAAATTTCTCCCCAAAATCCATTTTTTAATTTCATTTCAAAACACTTTCCCTTTTCTTTCATGCCTAATGCTTGTATGCATATCACATGTCTTTTTAATACCATGAAAGTGGAGAGAATTATTATCACACAATTAACATGCTTCCACATAAAATTTCTAATAAATTATTAAGCATCATAGGCATAGAAAATTAACACATTAAGCATACTTTCCAAGTAAATCAACAAATACACATAATTTCATTCTTCATATACTCAATTAAATCATCTAAGGAGCAATCAATTCAATTTAATCATGCTTAACAACAATAAAAGTAGAAAAACTTACAAAGGAATAAGAATTTGAGTATTAGAGACCCCTACCTCAATCTAAGCCAAAAAGCCCCAATTTCTTCTTAAACCCTAGGATTTAGAGATCCCCCAAATGGTGGTCAAATGAAGATTGGCTTCGATCAACTTGTAGATCTTGTCGTGGGCTTCAATTTGCCGCAAACGGCACTTAAAAACACTAAGTATTGAAGGAGAGATCTAGATTCAAAGATTGGAGCAAAAGAAAAAGAAAAAAGAAAAATAATAGAGTGAGAGAGAAGAACTAGCGGGTGATAAGAGAGAATGGGTCCCACTTAATTTTCTTTTATTTTCTCTTTTTTCTTTGTTTTTAATTTCCACCACACATATACCTATATATACACATTAAATCATAACCATATGTAATACATTAAATAAAATAAACATGATGCAAATGGACCCCACTAAAATTCCCGTGTGTAATAATTTCGGTAGCGGATCCCACACGGGACCGTCGGGCCCGAAAAACAAAAATAAAAAAAAAATGCCAAAATGGTTACCCTTGCATTTCAAAGAATCTTGGACTCAATGAAATGCTTCAAATAACTTTCGGACACAACTGGCACACTCCGCAGTGTCCGGTACGCAAAACGGTAAAAGACGAAAATGCCCTTGCAACTACAAAAATTTTGGAAAAATGGAAAATGATGAAAAATGAAAATATTACAATCTACCCTCTTTAAAAAGATTTCGTCCTCGAAATCTACTCTCCTTATGAAGAAGGCCCACAGCCACACTTCTTTCCGAGAACATTTCACAAAACCCCAAAACCATGAACTCACCAGCATTATTACCTTTGACACCGGACGTCACTAGGCAATCACGCACCACTGCCACTAAAACCTAATACGGGTACTCATCTCTCACCTCATCATAACATAAGACCAACTAGGCTCTACACCTGACTCAAAAGGAAAACGGTTACAAGACCCCAGAGCGTAACAACATCCAACCTCCACTCATCCTTCGAAGGACACACTAAACCCCAAACAGGGAATCCCGTCCATCTCTCAATCAATCACAACTCTAATCTACACGTCCCTGACGGACCAAACACTTACTATCTAGTACGTAACTACACCACCACATAACCGTACCAACGATTACTAATTACACTATACGACAATCATTACACTTAACAACTTCATAATGATTAAACAATGAGTCCCCCAATAACCGTATAAATATTAGTCACCAAATCAATAAGCGTACTATCCTGTACCCAAGACACAATTCCTCAAAATAAGATCTTTAATAATCAAACGGATCGGGCACTGGGTCCCATTCAACACACCTCGTCACCCGAGACAACTTCCTGAATCCACACCACCACACTAACACACACCCAATACCATACTCTCACTATTCGTGACAACTCAAAACAATCATTGACCTTTGACCCAACATCGTGCTAAAGAGGGATTGATTCAGGAGAAATGGTAGGCCAGGCCATTCTCATCCTCGATCCGGTCTCAACACAGACATCGTTCTTGTTTTCAGGTCCACACCTCAAATACAATCTTACACAGTCCACAAAACAACAATGAGATCTACTCACTATCCATCCATCATTATACGTAACCTCAACAACTAAGCAATCACATACCAGCTCTAAGAATCTCAATCATGCCTTAATCACATAATCATAACAAGTTAAAAGCAACACGATACTAAACATCACAACCATCAACCCGTACAAAAGATCTCTAATTTCCTCATAACACCCACACCAGATAATCGACTTCACAACATCATTCGATTCAATTCTTACCTCTTCAGAACACACAATACACCCGTCTCATGCCTGAAACCTCAAAACAAAAGTCAATCACTCCTATTATTCCTCAATGAAATCACACATTCTTTCTCTTTAGCTGGTTAGCACTCAAACAATACCAACACGTGTCCTCAAGGCACTGCTCAATTCAGACATCAATAAAAGCATCCGGATACACAACTTACATCACATCTCCTAGTCATCCTTAAACTACCGTTCACAATACATTTCCTAGCCATCACCGATAGTATCATACACCCGAAACAAAATCCCTATTTAGTAACCCGTGCCTCTTATTTCACCAGTCAAAACCATTCTTAGAACAAGCACTACAAAACTTAAAACTCCACCTCCCTCTGTGGGAGTGAGTCGACCTATACAACCAAACCTTACCGGTGAACTCTAATAATATAACAAACCACACACAGGTCCGTCCACCCACGGACGCGCACAACTCCTAAATGGAGAACAAGACTCATGACAAACGACGTCCTTGCCAGGACTAGAACAACGGAAAGGGTAATAAACCCCACCCTCACAAGAGTCCGACGACTCACACCTAAATGCATCCAACAACCTATCACACGCTACTCATCGTTCGTCCAACCATGGACACCGAATCTCTCCTGAGATGAATTGAACTCCTTATACATAAGGAGAAGAACCAACTTGGAAACATATACGAGACCACGAACACCAATCTAAGCGACCTCGCCACTAACCGACCGTCCTACACAATCAATACAAAAACCTCGCACACACTTCTTTGCAACACTATGCTAACCGAAACCAATCAGATAAAAGTACCAACACCCTCAACGTACTAACACTAGGAACCATCAGTGCATGTTGGATATCACGTCCTATCCTGCCTAATAATCTCCCAATGAGAAACTTTATGAAATACAACGACACATGATCACTTGTTCTACCTCTACCCTTTAAAG